TATTGTGCCGATGTGTATTTTTGCTCTGGGGGTGGGTACCGCCACAGCCACCTTTACTTCCAAGCCATGAAGTAAAAAAGGCAACACCGCATTCTATGACGTCGGTAGTCCGATAATCAGCTGTAAGGTCTACCAGAATATTAAACTAATTTGAATTTTAGGAAACTGATATTTTGAAAACTTCAATTCATTACAGAAATATTTTTAGGGAAATTAAATTAATAAAATCTTATATATACCTAGTAAATATATATAAAGTTTTATTATTATTTAGGTTATATTATCAATAAAATAATCACTAGAGTAAAATTTATTGCACTTAAAATACAGTGTCAAACAGTTAATCTTACAATCAAATGCAGTACAAGAATCTCTAGAAATTTTAAATATTAAGTACTTAAGCATATAAACAACACAATACATTAACACGACATTTAAAAAGATTATTAAAAATACAAAAGATATAAAATTTGTGCTAAGTAAAAATTTAGTGTAACTATTATGATTAAAAAATTCATCCTAAGAAATCAGACACAATATAAATATGGTTCTAAATTAATCTAATTGAAAATTAAATATTTTACTATTTACTTATAACTTTTGTTGAATTTTCATACTTAGCAGATATACAAAAGTAGCAATTTTAAATATGAATAAGTTTGTTGTCATATAGACCAAGTTAAAAGAGGTATACATGAAAAATGTGTTGAATGTAACACACCATTTATAACTTGTATATCAATTTAAAATAGCCTATATTCTCAAAAGATTTTTGAATGTGATACTCAAATTTGTTATCACTTATCTAAAAAGCAGATCTAATCGAGTAAGTAAGTTCTCTAATTGTGACCATCTTGTTAGTTTACTAGGTAATTGTAAAATCCATTTCAAATCATTACCACTTAATCTATTCTTACCTACATTGACGATTACACTAAAATTACTGCTAACTATTACACTACATATTACACAAATATTATCACACTTGTGTCCCAACTGATTAATGTTTAATACATAGAAATATACACAGTCACTTGTAATTTTACTTGTCCAGTTTTCAATGGGATATTATTGTCTAAGTCTAATTGACATAATTAGGTATGTTATCTCTTGTTCCCTCTTCTTATGCAAAAAGTTTCTTCTGTCTTCGGGATTCCTTCTTTCTTTAGTATGATGAACAGTTACATATGATGGTACTTCAGGAAATATATTAGGAACTGCATTGCCTTTTAATTTGGGAAATATTAACTTTTCAATGTGTACATTTCCATCTTTATCTTCTCATTGTTCAGTCCGCTGAATACCATCTTCATGAAAAAGTTTGGCACATACTCAGGAAGATTGGTAATTGTACAGCCTTCTCTATGAATAGAGATTGGTTTTTGCAACCAGGTACACAACAATGCCAGAGCATCTGTAACAAAAAACAAAAGTATTATTATTGTTGTTTTTAGTTTACATATTTTGTAACAAGAAGCAAAAGTATTATTATTTTCAGTATGTTTTGTAGGTTATATTTATACTTGCCTGTCGTTAAGAATCTTCTAAAAGTTCTAAATTTAATGAAATTATCACTTATATTAATATTTTCTAATTGATTTAAACACAATTTACAAATAAAACATTCGAATAAAGTTAAAAAAAACAATAAATTCATCAAACTTTCACAAGCCTTCCTATAATGAAATGTTAAAACCAAAACAAACCACAGTCGGACTACCACGCGTTGTTGCCAAATTTCTACTTCATGGCTTGGAAGTAAAGGTGGGCTGTGGTACCGCCCTTCTCGGGTGGTGAAAAGATATACTCCAAAATAAAGTCCGGAAGTGTATAAACTAACTAATTCTAGGCAACTTTTGTTTTATAGAGGTTTTAACTAAATCCATACTTTTCGAGTTATTATGCGAGTGAATATATTCATTTTTCAACAAAAACACCACGTTTTTGGACGGTTTCTCTGCAAATAACTCAAAGGTAAGTATTTAATGGAAAAAATGTTCTTAGCAAAAATACAGTTTATAAAAAAGTGAAAACAATGGTATATGTATGAAGTCTGTTTACCCAGCAGAAGCAGAGTTATAGCTAATGAAAAATAGATTCTTACCTATTCGTCAAATTTACATATCGAATAATTCAACGTGAAATAATCAAAAAAATATTTGTTGCTTTTTTTTTAATTGTTTTAAAGGAATCTTTATTTTTGATTTTTAAAAAAGTTTCTAGCATCAAATGTAAGCAAGTTGCGCTCAAAACAAAGTTGATCCCTTTTTGGTAAAAAAAATAATCATGAATATGATCTGTAAGTTTCATCGTTATAAAGAGCTCATTTTTGAAAGATACTTATGAAATCGGCCAATTCGTCTTTCAGTCGAATTGTCTCTTAGGTTCTAGATTAAATGGAGAAATCACATTTACTACGGTACACAGAATATATTTTTGACAAGTTGTGGAAGTCTTTGTGGAAATATTCACACAATTAAACACTATCACTATCCGTGTGCCCCAGAACTTGAGTCGTCGTTTGTGTTTATAACTACCAGTTCAATTGGTGGTAAAGTAGAATATTCTTTTCTTTTACTTGAACATGAGCTACACAATTTTTCCAAATGTCAGTTTTGTTAAGTTCTTCGATCACTGTTCTGGACACACAACGTCACCTAAATTAGGAAGATTGATTCATTTTCCGCAATTTCTTTTTTATATTGGCCCTATCATTTCAATTTGGGTTGAAAACACAATGATATGAAGGGAGCCGTAAAACCGTATGCCCGTGGCGTTCAAAGAGTTTATCTTATTACATATTATTTTTGAAAATTTTATTGCTTAATTAATTGCAACAATTCCTTTTTCAAAGAAAGCCTTAATGTATGTTCCGCCAGAAAGAAGGAAAAGGGGAAGACCACCAAATTCCTGGAGAAGAGAAATTACAAAAACAATGCAATCTAGAGGCTTAGAAGAGGGAGATTTGGAGAGATAGGAAAAGATGGAGGCTGAAATGCGGGAAGCGGGCAATCGCCGTAGGACCCCCGTTATATGATGATGATGGAACAATTCCTTTTTGTTACATTTACTAGGTGTTGCCATGCCTTTGTTCTCCATAAAATTCTATGATATCTCCCTTCTTGGAGCTAGTATTTGGAATTTTGGTGTAGAGTCTAGAATGGTATGACGCATTGTCCATTACTATCACGGAATTTGTTTTAATATTCAGTAAAAGCTGTTCCGTTGCCCATTTTTCGAAAAGTTAAGCCGTCATATCCTCATGATAATCAGCTGATGACTGTTTAATTTTTTTGGCCGATAATAACAAGGCATTATGTACAAACCCGCTCTTAGTTCCAGCATCACTTGTAGCATGTAGAATTATAATTCTTTTTCCTCTCGAACAAGGAGTACTCAAGCAGCACTTTTTGCTATCACTAATCCAGCCATATTGAACTACATCATGGGTGTCAAACTACGTTTCATCAAGATACACAATGTCTCTATTGTCACCTCGATAATTCCTTTATTTGCCTCCTTTAATTGCCTGTTGCCTCTGTATCACAATCCTTGTAGATTCCATAATTACCATTCTCTTGTCTAATTTTTTATTACTAAATCCGCATTCTATTAAAACACGCCTCAATGTATCAAGGGATTTATATGCATAATCGGGATATATTTTCAACTTATTCTGAAGCATTTCCAACGTTGGAACTTTGTTGTCCTGATAAAATTCGTAGACATGTCGATAAATAACGTCTTTAGTGGCCTTATCAATCTTTTTAAGGTTTTGTCCAACTCTTGATGTTTAACAGAATGATCACTTACATCCCTAGCTGCAATAACACGTAAAACTGTCGTACGCGCAAGTTTGGTAAGTTCACATATCCTTAACACAATATTATTTTCCGAAAGTGTACTATTTTCGCCTCTTAAACAGGAATATATATTTAGAATAATCCGTTGCGCTTAAATATGTAAGTTCTTATTTAACAAATTCTCAATTCATTGGTGTTGATCTAAAAGAAATATTTTTTACTTTTAATTGTTAAAAAAAGTAGATTAAGGGTAAATATTATGACGGAGCATCCATATACAACTAATTATTAAACTTGATTTAAATAAGAATTTACATACCTAAATCGTCCGTTGGATTGTTACTAGTATTCTCGTTGGTATCACATTCAAATGGTCTCCAAAAAAGACATCTTTAATGTATTTACAACTCATTTCTACTGTCCTAACTCAAAGTTAACTAAAACACAACACTACTGTTTGCACAAAAATATTAAAAATATACGTGAACTTGCTGTCGTATACGATGATACTGAATATATCGTTTAGTATAAGAAACCTGAGAAAGAGTTTTTGACCAAATAACGATAAAGTTTGAGCGTAATAACGTCCGAAGAATTTGACTCATTGCACTTCAGTAGTGCCCGATAAGATACGTAGAAAGTAATAAGCCACAGCTGTAATGTGGACAATACCTTTAGTGATCAATTACAAATAATGTTTATATTTCTGAATTATTCGGTACTGGACCCGAAAAATTCCTTAACTTTTATTGAAATTTAAAATTGATGATTAAAAGTATATACATACATAATGCAAATGAAATGTAATGTTCTTATTAATTTGAGAACTAAAAATGAGACTACAATTTTACTATAAAAATAAAATAATTATAAGTTAATCACGACGACACTGTTATTGTGTTTATTATATGCTTGCCGCCTTAGAAACATGAGAAGCAATTTTTGCCAGATAACGGCAAAGCCAGATTTGGTTTCAGTGTATGCACTTCCGAAAAATTTGACCAATTACATTTCAGTATTACTCAATAAGATACGTTAAAAAGTAATAATCCACGCCAATATCCATATGGACTAATACCAGGAGTAGTCAATAATTATAGAATTACAAAGATTTATCTTTATTTCTATGTTCGCCGTAGAATTACTGACCGGAGCCCAAAAATTGTTCTTTCCCAATTGATATCGTTTCTACTGTACCTTGCACTGCATAAGTATGGATATAGTCAGCCATTTGTGGGCACATACATTCGGAATTGTAAACGAAATTTGTAGCTTGAACGGGAGGGGCACATATATTCGTACAGTGTAGAGAAGCATTTTCGACTGCAGTAACAGAACAATTTTCAACAATTGACAATAAGTCTGTATCTTGAACAGTTATATGATCTCTAGGAATTATGGATTGATCACAATCAGTAGTTAATTGATAATCTTCAGCTAATGTTTGGTTCTAAAAATGCTAAATTAATTAGTGATATTAAAAACATTAAGTTAATTTCTTGTTTAAACGTTTTCAAAAAACATAAAAATTATAAAATTTTAATAGAATTGTTTGTATAAACTTATTTTTAACTATATAAGTAAATGTAAATGCAAAATGTGTAGTAGATGGACATGTGCTAATAGGGCCAAAGTATTATGGAAAACAAGTAGAAATCTGCTAAGATTCATACGAATTCATTACATTCGAAACATGCGCCATTCGAGTGATAACTGCATATTATAAAGGGACTATTTTATAAATATTTAAACTACAGACTTTGTAACAAAGAATCTGGAACAGTAAACCAAATTCTGCATGACCCTGAGACATTAGAATGCAGACCAGACGGTAAACACTTTTTGGAGACTACTAGGTCACTTCAAAAACATATAGTACACGTCCACCAGACCTGTACAAGCCGGTACAGCATTCCAGAACTATATCAGAATGAAATGTATATTAGAAATAAATGAAAGATATACCATAAGTGAATTGGCTGAAATACGATCGATTTATAACAGACGGCTTCCGAAAAAATCTCCTTAGGATTAACGATCTTTCTTGTCAGGACATAGGATAAAAAAATATATGAACAAGGGAAAAGTCGTCATGAGTTAGTGTGCGCGTTTCGCAGGTTTCTACCTTGGACCACCTTGTGGCACATGTACGATGGGTTGCTGTAACTGCAGATGCCGTGCGGCATCTTACTTATGGGCTACATCGACGAGCTGGCTGCGCATTTGTTGCCTAAGGAGAATGACTGCGTCTAACAATTTAATGGGAGAACAGGAGAGGTATTGGATATTTTGTGTTGCCTGGTGGCGATTCGTACCAAACTAGGGGCCAGAAAATTGCTATGATCAGTGGTGTACTTCATACTTTTGTACAAATTATAGGCGTGGATGTGAAAATTTTAAGATCGAGAAGTACAGCTTTAAAATCACAGGGGTATAGAAACAGGCACTTCTTAGGATTTGTAGTGGCATGACCACGATTGCGGTTGCAGTGTTGGCTGAGGTACCACTAGTAGATCTAAATGGAAAGAACGAATAGTTTAAAAAATAATGGAATAGAGGAGTGAGATGAAGAAAAATAGTGAGGGATAAATGGAAAAGAAGATAAAAATATGAAATAGGGAAGGCTGTTACGAATCATCATGGAATGACCAATTTTGACTATGGAGAGGTAAACTGTAATCTCAGCCAGATGTTTCCGGGACGTTTATCTCGGGTTACTGTTCAAAATTAATTAACAAGCAGAAGAATATACAATTATTTCCAACGAGTTTCTTGCACACAAAGTACACCAACTATTTTCTGCATAAAATCGACCAGCTCTCTTCCTTTAGTTTTAACCATCAACGTATTACCGAAATTCCGGGAACGAACTGAAATTAAACAAGACTTGCGAATTATTTCAAAAGTATATTGTCACCAAATGACAACAATTAGTCGAAGTCCAAGTCGAGAATCAAGATGAACAACATTAGGTACGCTGATGCTACCGCTCTTGTGACTAGCAATGCACTAGAGCTACAAAATATAATAAATGTGGAACTTAGTTGATGGCATCAGAATTGAACAAGTAATGGAAATAAAATTCCTTGGAATTACACTATTCAGCTATGGATACCTAGACAAAAAAGTGAGAGATCAAGTACAAAAAACAAATAGACTGGCAGGATTCCCTAATAACACTATATGGCGAAACAGACACATTAACACTGAGATGAAGTCAAGAATTTATAAAGCTAGTTTAAGACCAATAATTACATATGCCTCAGAAACAAGACCCGACACAGGCACAACACAAAAGCTACTGGAAATGGTTGAGATAAGAGTATTGGGAAGAATAATTACAGATAATACGCTAAGATATCGAAAGAGAATTGAAGACCTTAGAAGAAAATGTAACGTAAAGTGTATAAATAAGCGGACACAAAATAATATTAATAATAAATGCCTTTATTAACAATCAAATTAAATTTTTTCTTTACAATAAATATAATGGCAGTAGGGCGAGATTCAGTTTGTATACCACTGTGTAACAGCGGCATACAACTACTTTTCACCTAACCCCCGAAGAAAGGATAGATAGACTATATCGCACTAATAATACAATAGTGTTGTATTATTAATTGTTTCTGAAAAATCATCAAAAAAGATGAATTTTCAGATACAACAAAAAACTTATAAATTATTTCCTATTGCAGGTAAAAAAAAATTAATTCATAATATGTTTCTAATTAATATTAAAGAAAGGTTTTTTGTACTCTTAGTTATATGAAAATACTAATAGTAAAGTTATTTAAAAGTTTTAAGTTAACACTATATTGCTCTAAGCAAATGTTCGAAATGAAGTATTATTTTTGGTTATGACATTATTTTTATGAAATATTTTGTGTTACTACTATTTTATTTACTATTTTTTTCTGCGGTTTGCGTTAGTTTTTGGACTTACAACAATTCTAGGAACTGATTCATGGTATTTGTTAACATTGAATCAAATTCAGATACAGATAACAAAATACAGTATTCTTAAACATTTTGTACTTAATCTATATATTTACGTTGTTTGCCATGTTTTCCGCGTAATTCATCTTGTATTAAACCACACTCCGTTTTTTGGATAGGGGTGTAGCAATGGGTAGATCGTTTATAGCAAGAGTATTTTTTAAAAATGTTTTGCTAACTCTAATGTGATTATTGTTTGCTGTAAAATTAAATCCAGTGTTTAGTTTCCGAACATTTTGTGTTAAAGGATATTTGTATTTGGTTTAATTTTTATAGTATATCTAATAATAAATTTTGTTTGTTTATGTAAATCTCCCAAACTCCAATACTTAATAAAAATATCTTGTCTCGATGTCCCGTTTATTCGTAAACGACAGTTTAACCTACATTTTTCGCCACAAGTCGGACCCATTTTACTTGTAGGTACTTGTTTTTTGCTTACAGATTCATACGATTTTCATTCATACGATTCATTACACAGGTTTCAATAATACGTATCCTCTTTTTGCCCGTAGTATTATTGTTTTACTCTTCCGAAGAAATATCAGATTTATTAGTTAACCCACCAGTTCCATCAAAAGGACTTAAATTATCCACAACTCTATAATCCGAGCTACTTGAAGAAGAGCTACTCGATGAAGAGTTTCTTGAAGAAGAGCTACTTGATGGTTTTAATGTTAGACCTTCAAGTAAACTATAGATTTCGCTTTGCACACCAGGAACGAAATGCAGATCTCGGTCGAAATCATCGGAATCAGAGTCACCCTGATCTGACTGCATCGGTAAAATGTAATATTGCCTTTAGTTAGATTCTGTAATAGGTTTATCATTACTAACCTTACTAAAGAAACTGTTTGTAACAAAAATATGCTTTATGCGCCAATGTAACAAAAAATGTGTAAGAATATAACAAAAGTGTGTATGCAATGAAACACAAGTAGTTAGGGGTAAAGTAAAAGATAACATATAATTTTAAAGCTGGCTAGCAGAAGTTGCCGGAGAGTGACTACTTGACACTCAAAGGAGGATTCGGCTAATTTGCATGCCCTACAGAGACCGTAGAATAAGCAAATGAATAACAAGGTTATGAAAAAACTATAGGAATATAACTAAGATAAATAAAAGTGATTATAGAAGTTGCTCCAAAATGTGAGTGGGCGCCAGGAAAGTATTTACTTAAATTTTTCAAGGTATCTTGTAAAGCTATGTGCTGAAATAAAAAAAGGATATAGGTATGAATTGAAATATTTAATTTTCACCAAAACTTTAAGACCTAGCCAAATATATACAATATAAATTTATCTTAAAATACCCACCACCAATTATGTACAGTCAACTTAATTAACTGATCCTTGATGATCTAAATTTACAAATAATAAAATATGGGAAAAAATGGTAAAAATTGACCTAAACAAGGTAATTTACTTGCCTCAGAGATGCAACTCTATATTTTGGTTTTCAATTGAATGTAATTGTAACAAGTAATAAGGACACAATCTTGACGAGATAAATGTCCAAACGTTTAAATATATAATAATAATAAAATCTTTAAAAAAAATAACTCTCTGATTAAATGTGTACACATAAAACCGTACAACCGAGTTATAAGGGAGTATTTAAAACTCAACCTGTAATTGACAATTAGTCCTTAAACGTTATTTAAAATTAGTTTAAAAAAATGACGAGTCTTTATTATAGTATAAGTATGAATATTTAAAGTTAAACAAAACAAAAATGGTGTATAAAAGTTATTAAAATTAAAAAACAAATCCAGTATATAAAAATTATTAAAGCAAAAAACAAAACTTGATAAAATAGCTGTGTTCCACACTCTAAGGCGGTCTTTCAACTGGTTCCCTGAAGTTATCCGGGAAGGCTTATATGAGGTCTGTACCTCGGATGGAACAGCTCAGGGTGATGGCCAAGGTGTACACCCAGTAGGGAACAAATCAATTTGTATTCTTAAATAACTCCCAACCAAATTAAAATGAGAAATTCTTGACTCTGGGACTAACTTCGGAAGTAGGAAGTAGGCTAAAATAACATTTGTGTTAGCGTTCCTCCTTACTCTTAATAAAAAGTAGGGAAAAAACACAAGAAAAATACGATACTATTTGAAGGATATGATAAAAGTTATTGGGAACAAAAAGCTTTAATGATTTTATAAATAGTGTGACCTTCGCATGGTTTCACAAGATTTTAAGTAAATGGATTGGTTAAATAGATAATTTTATAAACGAAAACGCATGCTATGGATCTATTTTATAATATAAAAGAATGGTATAAGACAGAGTATTTTTATAGATAGACTTAATAGATATATAATATATATTTGTTTAAGGCCAGAAAGTAAAACAGAAATTGGATATATAATTTTATCTTAATAAATTTCGATTTAGACGTAGAATATTTCTTAATGAAATGATGTAAAAGTTCAGATAAATATATCGAATC